TTCTTTGAATTCTTCAAAGATTGAATGAGAAAAAAATAATCCTAGCAACCTTTGAAATTTGAACAATTCTGAATTTTTTTCAGTTTTGTTTAAACAATGGAAGCAACAATATCGTACGAGTTGACAAAGGAGGATATCATCGAGTTGATTCAGAGGATGAATCAAATTTTGGAGGAAGAAGAACAGCGAAATGGGAGCAGAGGTTCAATCATCGATAGCGAAAATGTGGAGCCTCAAGTTGAGGAAGAGGTAAGCATTAATTTTATATGATTTAAATCACATTGTATGGGGATTCTTTTTGGGATTTTAAATCACTTGAAGGTGAAAATTTGTTTGGGAATTTTCAGAAGATTAATTAAAAACATTAATCATTAATCATGGATATCCTTTCTGGCTTTTGGATATTGTAGTATGCAGATGTTGGTATAGCTCTAAATGATAAAGCATGAATGGATCTAGCATCATATGAGGAACTAGTCAATTCCAGTCGCTTTAAAGCATTTTTTGATAAGTTTTCATTGTCAAAGAGGTATACGTTTGTATTTCTTAGACAGAGGTATGAGTAGACACTGGAACTGCCCAGTTCCTTTACATCCCAAAAAAAATTTTTTGTTTCTTTTTAATCAAGGAATCACATCCTGGAACAAAAAATTTTTTTGAGGAACCGACCGGTTCCTTTAGTGCCTGAAGACTGAAAATGCTCAAAAAAAGTGCTTAATTCTTTAATGACTTAATATTTGACATTTTTAATCTTCAGGCACTAAAGGAACCGGTCGGTTCCTCAAAAATTTTTTTTTGTTCCAGGATGTGAATCACGATTAAAAAGAAACAAAAACTTTTTTTTGGGATGTAAAGGAACTGAGCAGTTCCAGTGTCTAATCATATCTCTGGCTAAGAAATAAAAACGTATACCTCTTTGACAATGAAAACTTATCAAAAAATGCTTTAAAGGGACTGGAATTGACTAGTTCCTCATATGATGCTAGATCCATTCATGCTTTCACCAACATCTGCATACTACAATATCCAAAAGCCAGAAAGGATATCCATGATTAATGATTAATGTTTTTAATTAATCTTCTGAAAATTCCCAAACAAATTTTCACCTTCAAGTGATTTAAAATCCCCAAAAAAATGCCCATACAATGTGATTTAAATCATAAATCACAAATAAATCTTTCATACAAAATGATTTAAATCATAAATCAAAAATAAATCACTTGTGTAAAATGATTTAAATAAAAAATCATTTTTCAAATCATTTTGATGATGATTTAAATCCTTACCTTTAAATTTTGAAAAATTTAACAAATTTTTTTTTCCAGGAAATGAACCAGTTCATCAACAGTATGCCAGCTCTCATTCCAGATTATGAGCTCGAGGATCCACATCTCCTGGATAGACATTCTTCGCCAATCATTGCTGCTCCAATTCCTGAGGAATTGGAAGGTGGATGGCAAGATGAATTGAAAGGTGGATGGCAAGATGGATTGGATCAAGAGTTGGATGAAGGCTATCAAAATTTGTTGGACCAGAAATTTTATAGCGACTACCAGCCATTGGCTTACGAGTTGCTGTTCGTCGGACGATTCCTCTCCAAGGATTTTCATTGTGCGGTTGAAGAACCTTCAAGAGATTTGCCTCTTGAGCTGTTGGATTATGCATCTCATGCAGGTTCAACAGTAAAGAGGCAAATGAGGAAGTTTGTTCGACTGTACGATGTGGAGAATAGACGAATGCAAATTTTGACGTCCAACATTTTGAGTAAGCATCCAGAGCTGAAGCTTTTGCTCATGAAGTATGCTGTTTCGCAAGAAATCGAGATACTTCAGCAAGAGCAAGAAGAGCTGGTTCCTCTTATTTTGTGCTTGATGCAATGGTTCAAGGGAGCGTCTTTGGAAGTCTTGGAGGGTCTAGAGGAGTTGTTGATTGTGTGGATCAATCACTTCCATGACATCATGCTCATGAGAGAAGTCGGGATCTGCTTGTTTCACCATCCCGTACTAGCATCGGCCCTCCAAGGATTTGTAGCATCACAAATCTGTTCCCATTTCGCTGTAAGTAACAAATTCATTACATGACTCTAGTGAATTCAAATTCAACTAGCTGGAGTTCTGACTATTAATATTAATAAATCTTTATTATTATTTCAGGATTGCGATGCTATTACGATTGCATCGGACATGACGTTTTCTGTGCCATCAGCTGATGATGGACCATCGAGCCGATCCAATCTGCAAGAGAAGCCCAAAAAAAAGCGCAGAAGTTTTTGGAGGACTCTTAAACGAATGTTCTGTTGTGTGAGCAAACCTGAGGAGCACGAAGCCGAAGAACTTCAACGCTAGAACGTGAGTGAAAGTAGAGTAGGGGTTAAGGGTGTGAGGGGGTAGGGGTTGGGTAGGCGAGAAGAGCATTATCAAATCTATATGGGAGTTGCGCCCCATTGACGCCAAGGGAAGGGTTTGGGTGATTGGGTGAGGGGGTAGGGGTTGGGTAGGCGAGAAGAGCATTATCAAATCTATATGGGAGTTGCGCCCCATTGACGCCAAGAGAAGGGTTTGGGTGATTGGGTGAGGGGGTAGGGGTTGAAATTGTGGTGCGAGGGTTAAGGGTTTGGGTAGGCGAGAAGAGCATAATCAAATCTATATGGGAGTTGCGCCCCATTGACGCCAAGGAAAAGGTTTGGGTGATTGGGTGAGGGGTAGGGGTGATTGGGTGAGGGCTGATTGTAGGTTTTGTTAACGTAAGGGGTTTTTTCTTTTTAATAAAATGGACATGAATCAATTTCAATGGCGCGTTCGAGTTTTTTATATAATTTTTATCGAACGAGGCTTATCCTCTATAAAAAGGGCTTTGAACTTTTTAGGAATTACAAGAGGGGGTTGAGGGTGGGCTGTCCAAAAAAAAACATTACTGTCAATTCGTCCGTCCGTATTATCCTGTTTATTAATTCATTTCTTTTTCAGCTCTTACTTTACTTTGTATTTCGTGAATTTTTCCAATTCTTTCACAACAAATACTTCCGGGCCGTTGAGAGTCATAACAAGATCTTTGCCCAATAAATCCTGAACGTGAGCTCTCTATTCATGACTCCAAGCCATGCCTTACGGTGTTACAGCTTGTTCTTGTTGGTTTGGAGGGGACGTAAAGGCCAGTGGTACTGAAATTCGTTGACTCAATGCGGTATTGATCTTTATAGAGGCGCTTCCAGATGGGTCGCACACCCTTAATGATAGATGCATCACGGCATTTAATGTAACCCGGTGATGTGTTTAACTTACAGTTTTTGTCATAGTTGGTAAAACTATGCTATCCTGTAAGTTGCAACTAAGTCGTCTAACGAAAGTTGTTTGATTTAAGAAGGAGCGTATCACTGAGGAATTCGACCAAAAATTGATCATTAACCAGGGACTCGTTCTGTTGACCTTCGCGAGGTGAGTCCTGTGATCTTTTCTATTTCGGTAGAAAAGAGGCTGACAAACAGAAGTTGTGAATTGAATTGGAAATTTTGGAGTTTCAGAGTTTCAACTTTTTTGAATCCGAATTTTTCGTGTTTTAATATTTGGAACTCGAAATTTTCGTGTTTCAACTTTTAGAATTCGAATTTTTCGTGTTTCAATTTTTGGAATTCGACTTTTTCGTGTTTCAACTTTTGCAACTCGAATTTTTCGAATTTCAATTTTTTGAACTCGACTTTTTCGTGCTTCAATTTTTCATGTTTCAATTTTTTGAACTCGAATTTTTCGTGTTTCAATTTTTGAATTCTAATTTTTCGTATTTCAATTTTTTTAATTCGAATTTTTCGTGCTTCAATTTTTGGAATTCGACTTTTTCGTGTTTCAACTTTTGCAACTCGAATTTTTCGAATTTCAATTTTTTGAACTCGACTTTTTCGTGCTTCAATTTTTCATGTTTCAATTTTTTGAACTCGAATTTTTCGTGTTTCAATTTTTGAATTCGAATTTTTCGTATTTCAATTTTTTTAATTCGAATTTTTCGTGCTTCAATTTTTGGAATTCGACTTTTTCGTGTTTCAACTTTTGCAACTCGAATTTTTCGAATTTCAATTTTTTGAACTCGACTTTTTTGTGCTTCAATTTTTGAACTCAAATTTTTCATGTTTCAATTTTTTGAACTCGAATTTTTCGTTTTAAAAATTTTTTGAACTCGACTTTTTCGTGCTTCAATTTTTGGAACTCGAATTTTTCGTGTTTCAATTTTTGGATCTCGATTTTTTCGTGTTTTAATTTTTGGAACTCGAATTTTTTCGTGTTTCAACTTTTGGAATTCGAATTTTTCGTTTTTCAATTTTTTGAACTCGACTTTTTCGTGCTTCAATTTTTGGAATATTATTTTTTTGAGTGTCAATTTATGAAATTTAAATGTTTAATTTGAAATTTAAAATTTTCAAGTCGTGGAAACTCAGGATTAATACTGAAAAATCTCAAAAATCCTTTAAAAAAAATCCCTGAGCCAATAAACGTGGAAATGTAAAAACCCTTTTAAATCCCTGAAGCATTTGATGAATAATACATCCAATATTCGAATTCTAATTTTTGAAATACACTTACACAATTGTCAGACAGACAAAAATTAGACATAAAATTTTCGAAATTGGGCGTGAAAATTGCGCTACAAACACCGCAAAAAAAGGTTAAATTAGAAAAAGTTTATTTTGCAAATTTAATTAAAAGCTGATTAAAACTCATCAAAACTTAAGATATTTTCAGTGAAATTTACTCTAGACAGTTAAACATGGCAATACCTAGATCGATTGGAAAGGATAATTTGGTAAATAATTGAATAATTGATAGCAAAACAAATGTATTTGACGGTTCCTCGAATGCGTTAGTAAATGCAAAAGTGAATATTGTTGGATCAGCAAGTAGCTTTGGACTGGTTTTTGTTGGATCATCAAATGCTGAGATTTTTGTGATTTGTACGAAAGATTTGGAACTTCCAACAGCATTAGATCAAAATGCTTCAGTCGTAAAATTCCTATGCCATCGCCTGTTACTCAATTAGCTACAAACTGTGACGGATCAATTCTGGCTGTTGATGTTAAAATAAATGGTGTTCCTCACATCCAGATGTATTCAGTTCCTTCGTTTTTAACTCCTGTAAGTTTATTGAAGACCATTAACATCAGGAAGTTACTTACTATGAACATTTATTATTTTAGAACATTCAAAAAATCAGCGAACTTCGTCTGTCAACCGATAACGCGAATTCCACCAATTACCAATATTAATGACAGCTTTGAAATTCCTGAATTAATTGACATTAATGTTAAGGACACTGAACATTTTGAGATCCCAGCGACACAGGAATTAACAGATGATTTAAGATCTCCACAAATTCAAAATTTGTCAATTAATGAAAATGAACACGAAGAATTCCCAGCTACACAAGATATGTCACCAGAGCATGAAGAAATTCTGACAACTCAAGAAGTTTCAGATAAGCAAGGACGGCTAATTTCCATATCAGGCATTCAAGATGCTTCAGCGCGATCAACGGCAACTAATAAGATACCGTTTTCTGTGTATGAAGATTCTACATGTGAGGTGCCACAAGTTGCACACAAACCATCAATAGTTCAGCCTTTAAATCAATCAACTGCCAATATGTCACGAAAGGAAAATTTAATAGTTCCACAATTCAAACGAACCAATTCAGACGAGTTCCTTGATTTGTGCAAAAGTTTTCCACAATTAAACTATAAGCCAGCACAAGCCATTGGGAATCAACCGAGAAATAAAATCAGTGACTTACCGAAAAATGAGATTAGTGACCTGCCAAGAAATGAAATTAGCGACTTACTTAAATTCTCAGATGCTAAATCGAAATTGTCACTTGAAGCCACTTTCAATGACTTGCAAATTAATAAGCCATTCAAGAGTCCTAGTCCAACAATGAATATTTTTGAAGCTGATCTTAATACTGAGAAATTCAATTTGCCACTTAAATTCGGCATTAATTCGACCGTTATTGGAGATGTCACAAAGGTTGTTCCTGTCACAAAGAAACCAGAACTCAATGAATTCTTAGATTTGAGTATTGAAATGAATGAAGACGAATTTGGTCGTTTGGGAAAGAATAAATCACAAGCTGCTGAGAAAGGTACGTCTTAACATCTTTAGGAGTTGACAATTTGAATAAATCTAATTTTTTTATTAGCGATTAGCCCCAAACCAGTAAACAACAAGAAAAGAAAAATGAATTTGAGATTTTCCAGGATGATGAAGAAGATGATGATTTAAGTAAAAGTATTTACCATAATCCAAAGAAAGATCAGACAATTGTCGAGTTTGAAGATGCAGAAACTTGGGAAGATGAAAAAATGTACAGCTTTCTTGGTGACGGTCCAAATCATTATGAATACACAATCATTCAGAATTTCGATGAATCATTGTCATTTAAATTAAGAGATGCAATTGTGAAGAGCAAAGGAAATCCATTTTCTAAAGATGTTCGCACATTGATTCTTGAACAATGCAATTTCGAACAATATCTTGAAGATCACATTGATTCCTGTTCTTTATTAAAGAATGTTCCTCAATTAAAATCCGGAGGGACTTTACAGTGTGGAAATGACATGTATAAAGTGGCTAAAATTCTTGGAAAAGGTGGATTTGGTTCAGTTTTTGAAGTGCGCAACATGAAGAACAATGAATCGTATGCAGCAAAGCAAGAAAAACCACCAAATCTATGGGAATATTATATTTTAATCGAACTAGTCTCTCGATTAAGTTCAAAGAACATTAATCACATGATTCCAGCTTATATGCATGTCTACAAAGCTATTGTTGCCAATAATGCTAGTGTCTTAATCTCGGAATATTCTCCACATGGATCACTCATTGATGTTTGCAATAAAATTAAGCAAGGCACTAGTAAAAACGTTGATGAATATATTGGAATGATTTTTACATCACAGCTCTTGTCTATTATTGATTATCTCCATTCATGTCACATCATTCATGCTGATATTAAGCCTGACAATTTTGTTTTGATGTCCAAGTACGTAAAATGTCTAGTTTAATTATTAATCTTTTAATTCTTGTTATTTTACTTAATTTTCTTTAGAATTGCTATTGGAATAAAAGTTCCATCACTGCAGCTAATAGATTTTGGATCTGCAATTGACATGGATAGCTTCGATAAAGATGATGAGTTCACTTATGTCGTGAAAACAGACAATTTTACATGCTGTGAGATGCTTGAGAATCGGTCATGGACATATCAGACAGATCTTTTTGGTATTTGTGGGACAGCTCATGTGATTCTATTTGGAAAGTATATAGAAGTTGAAAAGAAGTCAAGCAATTGGCAAATTAAGACAAGATTCCCAAGATACTTCCAGAAAGATATTTGGGATAAATTCTTCAATACTTTACTTAATGTTCCAGACTGTAAGACTATGCCGAATCTTCAAACGTTGAAGCAGCACTTTGATGAAGAAATCTCATACAGACAAAAGTATATATCAGATAAAGTGGCTGAATTTAATAATGCTCTGCTTAGTTAGAGCCTGTCGCTATAAAATATGATGTAAAAATCAAAATTTTTTTTAAGATTTTTTTTAAGAATATAATTTTTTACCATAGACATCCTATTTGCTAAATTTTATAATATAATAAATGAAAAAATATCTATTCAAACTATAATTAATAACTTTTTGTAATGACTGAATGAAGCCTGATCAAACCGTTCAATTTTAATTTGATTTTTCGAACATCATATAAGTAAGAAGTAATTAGAAACAGCCTCAAGCGTATAATTGATGCTTCACACTCTGCTTGCTTTTATGGTTCACGAGCAAATACAGAAAACACAACTTACGTAGAAAACCAACCAAATTCCACGTCTCTTTTGATAGATTGCTGTACACAATAAAGAAGAGATTTTTCGTTTAAAACAAAAATTAAACAGAAAGTCTTTTGCATAGATCAAACTTCAGCTTAAGTTTCTGTCTTGGGGTTTAAATTGCTAATCAATAGGCAACATCCAATCGAAGTTTGTTAATTCCAGAAATTCCCGAAGAGCAACAGATTTTTCTTGGTTCCTTTAAGTTTTTGAAGATGGTAAGCTGGAAAATTTATGCAAGGAATGTTGAAATTCAGTCAGGTTTTATTGGTATATATAGATAAGCTGAATCGCAAAAAGCAAGTTGATTCCCAAATTTATTTTTTTTATATTCACGTATAACTACACAAGAATCGTGCAAAACCTAATCCATAGACCACCATGTGGCATTGTTCCTAAACTCTTTTATCAGCATGCCTAAAATTAAATTGTTAAGTTCATAATAGATTTAAATAAATTGGATATCAATATATTACCAGTAATAAGGTTTAGCATCAATCCCTTACTTTTTAAATGCAGTCAATTATCGTTATGTATCATCAACACGCATAGATCTACCAATAATCTCTTTCGAAAAGCATTGATTCCAGCAGCAAATCTTCACAACATATTTGGTTCAATAAATTTTCTACTTTTTTTTTTCTCTCTCGGATGCTTCTCGAATGTCTTATTTTACATTGTTAGTTTTAAGCCATTCAATTGCTTTATCATAATCCATACCCTAACAATATGTGCGAATGATGATTTTAAAACTAGATCTCAACATCACATACTAAATCTTCGAAAGAATTGAGCAAGTCATTCAATGATGTAGATGCTATTTCAGCTTCAACATAACTGCATTCTACTGAATGACGTCAAGTACGAGATTGTACATGACCAGACTTGGCATGCAAGTTTCAAAATAAAGTTGGGAACAATTTTTAAAAAAGTCTTACTCACCTAAAAAAATCAAATTTAAAGAGTGTAGATCAACCTTGTGTTTGCACCATTCTTAGTTGAGCTACTTCCGTATGTCGACGATCACGCATAACAACTCCTTGCATTTTTAAGATTTTAGATGTATTTTCACCATGAATCATCAAATGCCTGTAGACAAAATCAGCAACTTGCTCTTCTGTATCTTCGTTTTCCACTGCATGATATACTGGACTTTGTCTTCTTAATTTTCTTTTTGGAAAATCTCTAACTTGATCTGCTGCTCGATGAATAAAATCTGATCATCGCAATTGTATCTTTCCTGTGTTTCCATGAAAATTTAATGATTAAAACTTATTACCATTTCCTTTCGTCTTGCTTAGTTCTTCTTTCGGCTTCTATCTTCTGCTTAAATTGTATGTGGTTGACTTCTTCCTGCATAAATAATTTAATTTTCTTGATTTTAAACAAACATTTTGATTTTATCATTTGGTTCGTTTCCATATCACGTAACAAATTTAAATGAATCCTTTTTGCATTGGATATGTTGATGCAGCAGATTTAACAGCTTAAAATTCGGTTTATGTCCAAAAATATTATTTTTCTTTGAATTCTTCAAAGATTGAATGAGAAAAAAATAATCCTAGCAACCTTTGAAATTTGAACAATTCTGAATTTTTTTCAGTTTTGTTTAAACAATGGAAGCAACAATATCGTACGAGTTGACAAAGGAGGATATCATCGAGTTGATTCAGAGGATGAATCAAATTTTGGAGGAAGAAGAACAGCGAAATGGGAGCAGAGGTTCAATCATCGATAGCGAAAATGTGGAGCCTCAAGTTGAGGAAGAGGTAAGCATTAATTTTATATGATTTAAATCACATTGTATGGGGATTCTTTTTGGGATTTTAAATCACTTGAAGGTGAAAATTTGTTTGGGAATTTTCAGAAGATTAATTAAAAACATTAATCATCAATCATGGATATCCTTTCTGGCTTTTGGATATTGTAGTATGCAGATGTTGGTATAGCTCTAAATGATAAAGCATGAATGGATCTAGCATCATATGAGGAACTAGTCAATTCCAGTCGCTTTAAAGCATTTTTTGATAATTTTTCATTGTCAAAGAGGTATACGTTTGTATTTCTTAGACAGAGGTATGAGTAGACACTGGAACTGCCCAGTTCCTTTACATCCCAAAAAAAATTTTTTGTTTCTTTTTAATCAAGGAATCACATCCTAGAACAAAAAATTTTTTTGAGGAACCGACCGGTTCCTTTAGTGCCTGAAGACTGAAAATGCTCAAAAAAAGTGCTTAATTCTTTAATGACTTAATATTTGACATTTTTAGTCTTCAGGCACTAAAGGAACCGGTCGGTTCCTCAAAAATTTTTTTTTGTTCCAGGATGTGAATCACGATTAAAAAGAAACAAAAACTTTTTTTGGGATGTAAAGGAACTGAGCAGTTCCAGTGTCTAATCATATCTCTGGCTAAGAAATAAAAACGTATACCTCTTTGACAATGAAAACTTATCAAAAAATGCTTTAAAGGGACTGGAATTGACTAGTTCCTCATATGATGCTAGATCCATTCATGCTTTCACCAACATCTGCATACTACAATATCCAAAAGCCAGAAAGGATATCCATGATTAATGATTAATGTTTTTAATTAATCTTCTGAAAATTCCCAAACAAATTTTCACCTTCAAGTGATTTAAAATCCCCAAAAAAATGCCCATACAATGTGATTTAAATCATAAATCACAAATAAATCTTTCATACAAAATGATTTAAATCATAAATCAAAAATAAATCACTTGTGTAAAATGATTTAAATAAAAAATCATTTTTCAAATCATTTTGATGATGATTTAAATCCTTACCTTTAAATTTTGAAAAATTTAACAAATTTTTTTTTCCAGGAAATGAACCAGTTCATCAACAGTATGCCAGCTCTCATTCCAGATTATGAGCTCGAGGATCCACATCTCCTGGATAGACATTCTTCGCCAATCATTGCTGCTCCAATTCCTGAGGAATTGGAAGGTGGATGGCAAGATGAATTGAAAGGTGGATGGCAAGATGGATTGGATCAAGAGTTGGATGAAGGCTATCAAAATTTGTTGGACCAGAAATTTTATAGCGACTACCAGCCATTGGCTTACGAGTTGCTGTTCGTCGGACGATTCCTCTCCAAGGATTTTCATTGTGCGGTTGAAGAACCTTCAAGAGATTTGCCTCTTGAGCTGTTGGATTATGCATCTCATGCAGGTTCAACAGTAAAGAGGCAAATGAGGAAGTTTGTTCGACTGTACGATGTGGAGAATAGACGAATGCAAATTTTGACGTCCAACATTTTGAGTAAGCATCCAGAGCTGAAGCTTTTGCTCATGAAGTATGCTGTTTCGCAAGAAATCGAGATACTTCAGCAAGAGCAAGAAGAGCTGGTTCCTCTTATTTTGTGCTTGATGCAATGGTTCAAGGGAGCGTCTTTGGAAGTCTTGGAGGGTCTAGAGGAGTTGTTGATTGTGTGGATCAATCACTTCCATGACATCATGCTCATGAGAGAAGTCGGGATCTGCTTGTTTCACCATCCCGTACTAGCATCGGCCCTCCAAGGATTTGTTTCATCACAAATCTGTTCCCATTTCGCTGTAAGTAACAAATTCATTACATGACTCTAGTGAATTCAAATTCAACTAGCTGGAGTTCTGACTATTAATATTAATAAATCTTTATTATTATTTCAGGATTGCGATGCTATTACGATTGCATCGGACATGACGTTTTCTGTGCCATCAGCTGATGATGGACCATCGAGCCGATCCAATCTGCAAGAGAAGCCCAAAAAAAAGCGCAGAAGTTTTTGGAGGACTCTTAAACGAATGTTCTGTTGTGTGAGCAAACCTGAGGAGCACGAAGCCGAAGAACTTCAACGTTAGAACGTGAGTGAAAGTAGAGTAGGGGTTAAGGGTGTGAGGGGGTAGGGGTTGGGTAGGCGAGAAGAGCATTATCAAATCTATATGGGAGTTGCGCCCCATTGACGCCAAGGGAAGGGTTTGGGTGATTGGGTGAGGGGGTAGGGGTTGGGTAGGCGAGAAGAGCATTATCAAATCTATATGGGAGTTGCGCCCCATTGACGCCAAGAGAAGGGTTTGGGTGATTGGGTGAGGGGGTAGGGGTTGAAATTGTGGTGCGAGGGTTAAGGGTTTGGGTAGGCGAGAAGAGCATAATCAAATCTATATGGGAGTTGCGCCCCATTGACGCCAAGGAAAAGGTTTGGGTGATTGGGTGAGGGGTAGGGGTGATTGGTAGTTTTGTTAACGTAAGGGGATTTTTCTTTTTAATAATATGGACATGAATGAATTTTAATGGCGCGTTCGAGTTTTTTATATAATTTTTATCGAACGAGGCTTATCCTCTATAAAAAGGGCTTTGAACTTTTTAGGAATTACAAGAGGGGGTTGAGGGTGGGCTGTCCAAAAAAAAACATTACTGTCAATTCGTCCGTCCGTATTATCCTGTTTATTAATCCATTTCTTTTTCAGCTCTTACTTTACTTTGGTTTGGGTGATTGGGTGAGGGGTAGGGGTGATTGGGTGAGGGCTGATTGTTGGTTTTGTTAACGTAAGGGGTTTTTTCTTTTTAATAAAATGGACATGAATCAATTTCAATGGCGCGTTCGAGTTTTTTATATAATTTTTATCGAACGAGGCTTATCCTCTATAAAAAGGGCTTTG